ATCGTTCTTCTCAACTTTCTAGACAGTGCGCAGTTCAAGATTACTATGTTCACGTTTCTCCAAGGATTCTCGCTATGGTTTTTGACGCATGTGCTTCTTGCAACAAATGGTGTCTCTTCGCAAAACCTCACAGGTAAATATCCCATTTGGGAATTAAAACAGTCTTGATATAGCAAATAAGTTGATAAGTTGTCTATGCCTTTCATTTTTACATCCAAGGTTATATTTGTTACAGCACTTTCGTTTTAGTTTTCTAGTTTGAATCTGTGCATTGTTAAATGCAGCTGCCTGCTCTTTGGAATGGTCGCATAAACGGTTTTTTCGCAAAATGCGTCCGAAAATGTTTTGGTTCCACTAAACCTATCATCCCAACGGCACTCCCGTAAAATGGATTTGGTGTTTGTGAACATTCCAATAATTTTAAGTGTTTTTTTTTTAACAGGTAGCGTCTTCAGGCATTGAAATTACAATGTATATACAGTCTTAACTGCCCTGCAGTATATCCCGTCTTTTGTTTGTCTCAAATTTTCGTAACCAAAACAATTCGTTCAAAAGGTGACATTGAACTTGTTATTAATATATGGAATCTGTTAAGAATAAGAAGACAACACCTCGAATATTATGGATTCTGTCTGTTGTTTTTATTGCATTTATCTACCCTTTTTTCATGGAATTTGACTTTTTTTTTTGGAGCGTACAAACCTTGTTTAAAAACTAGCCATTTCGTAACTCGTTGAAGATGTTACTCAAAATGAGCTCGTGAACATGATTACCAAAACACGTATGCTCGGTTGGTTTGGATGTTTTATCGCGACTTGAAAACCACTGACACGAGGATGTTGAACGACGAGCCCCTTATACACCAAGATAACTTGGTTAAAAGTGGTGTCATTCTAATAGAACTTAAATTTAGTCACCCTTTTTCTTTCTAGCAAACTGCTCCTTTGATCTCAAAACACTTTGTAACTGGCGGAATGAAGAGAGATGGAATAATTTTGATTGGCTACTCCGGCAGGGAGCTACCCCTAGTTTTAATACAGGACCAAGCAGCAACCACTCAGGTACGTAGAGAATGGTGACGCCCTAAAATCAGTTCTGTTAAGCTCAAGAAACACAAGAGAAACATGATGTCATCTGACATCCAAATCAAATGGTTGAAAAGCTGATGAGATAGTTGAGATGCAAAGCTGTAAATGTTTCTTTTCAAGTTAGAATTGGCGCTCGATTCCCGGTTTGATACACACGTAT